ACCTAAAACCTTTTTCTCTTTGTAGCCATAGGTCATCATTCTAGGCATTGTGTTTTGTTTTTAGCGTAATGCCTTCTGTGTGTTTTGGGGTCTTTCATCCACATACTTGTGGAGGAGTTTTTCTATAGACTCAGGAGTCAGGCAGGGGACTTCTCACGGTATTGGCCTTTTCAAGTGAAGACGCTTCAACTTTTTCTGGCTCCTTCCCTCACAAGGCCATTCTTTCTTCTCTGTCACGCAGTGATGTGTTTGTGCATACCTTACCAGCTTGACAAAAGAGGGGAGAGATCCTATTCACTTCTGCCTTTGACATTCACCTCTTGTTTTTACAATCTTTCCAAGGCGCGCTGTTTGCACAGTGGAACAGGCTTTGTCTTGAAGAAGTTGGACAATGGCTAGCGCCATAATGTGATCTCCTGAGTGTAATGAGCAGAGGGGCGAGGTCTACATGTATGTGCTGGCGCTTGCCCCTACCAACCCTCTCCCTCCCTCCTGCCATTTACTTTAGCAATATTTCATGTTAACAGTGACTTGGGAGAGAATACATGTTGTCACTTAAGCCTCTGTAATGTTCACCTAGGTCTTTTGTTAAGGGAACACAAAGGCTTTTCATTTATGCAAACATCCCCTTCCCTCATTCCACTTATTGAAGGTGTTCTGAGTAGCAGTTTGCCCACCCACATGCATATCTGCAACCTTGTCTTTTTTATCAACATGACCACAAAACATTCATATTAAAACTTTATCTTTCCCTCACTTTAAGCAACTTTTTTAGCAGCATAAGCCCAACCACACATGTAATCAAAGTCCCGCTGCACTTTGCACATCCAACCAATCAACAACCAGCCGCCCTCTGTCCAGTAAGAGATATGCTTGTTGTATTGTCAAACAGTGTGAGAAACCCCAACTTACCACACCTTTTTATATCAGAATTGAGGGGGACTGCATCTGAAACATTTTGAAACTTTCCCAAACTATCCCACAACCACTGCCCACTTCACACAGAGATTGACCAGGTGTGTGGAGGTGAGAGAGTATGCAGGATTTGAACTTCTCTCTCTTCACAGCTATTTCTGTCCCTCTTCATATATATAAACGAGCGCATGACACCATGAATGTCTCTGGGAAAAGATGCCTTGTCAGACAGCACATCGTACAAGTTTGTTTGTTAGTGATGTCACACGTTAGGGGTTGAACAAAACATTTCCAGTGAATGTAATTGAGACAGCAATTATATGTTTCTCCAAAACATATTTGTCAAAGCAAATTAGTACTATATGAACATTGTAGGAAATAGAATTGATATCTGGCAAGTCATCAAGTCATCTATCAAGTGTGAAATGCAGAAAAATAATAGCTCAGTGATAATAGGAAGTTAAATAGCTCGCTAGCAGCCCTTGAGAGAAAACACAGAGAGATAGCAACAAAAACATTACGAGGTCCGTACAACACAGCCAGCGGTCCTCTGAGAGTCAACGTGTGCTATAAGCTCATCGTTTATGGGTCAAGTGAACCTCATTCTGGTTTAATTGCCCATATGATTAGTTGGAACCATATTCCGTTTCCTATGGTGCAGACATGGAAGTGGCAACACAGAGCCTCATGTGGTGCTAAGCTCATTGAGAGTGCTTCTGTCTCATAGAGTTCCATTGTTCTTACTCCAGTGTGTCCGCGTCTGCACAAGTGGCACTGACAGCTGCAACAAGACAACATTTGGGACTGTGCATATTTTGTTGCGTGAATGCGCGCATTCATTGTGCAGGTGCAGGCATTGCTCTTAATATAACACAGTGTATCTCCTCGTCGTGCACCATTTCTCTCAGCTCTCTTGTTACTATCTGTAACTATGAAGTCACGGCTTTGCCTTTGCCAAAAGCAAGTCTCTGGTCTTTCGTTTTGTTGCTCTAAGTGTCTTTTCCAGATAGGTGCTTTTTTTGTTGCTGGCTCAGCGGTAGGGTAACATGTGCCATTTTACAGCTGTTAGACAGTGGGCCAAAAAGGTAGCTGTTACTTCCTGCAGTTGTCAGGAGGAGCCTGGAATGGCTTTATACCGTGGGTCTCCTATGTCAGCTCCCCATCAGAGGTGAATGAGAAGAGAAGTGGTTCGAGACTGGGCATGTGGGAAAGCGTGAGCAAGAGAGTGGGGTGGATAAATACAAAAAAATATGAGCTTTTAAGAGTGAGTAAGCAAAGGATAAAGAACAAAAGCAACACTAAAACAAGAAAAAATTGTTTGTGTGGGCTTGTTGTCTTAGCGAGTCTGTGTCAGTCTTTTTAGATCTGTTTTAGTGTTGAATGGTTCCAGTGACCAGTAACTCAGTAATGAGTTCATCTACTTCCATAAGAACATCTCTCTTTTTTGTTATTTGTGTCTGTAAGAATCACCTTGTAGTAGGGTCATGTATTATGGCTGAGATAAAAACCATGATATTACTTACAATATGGTAAATATTTGCAAAATCACTTAATTAAATGGTGTGTGGAGGCTCTAGGGTGTAGAAGTTATTTCTTGCGTTAGCTGCAAAACAACATAAATTGATAACAGTGATATTCAGCTGAAGAACTGTGTTTAACATGTTTTACACCAGAAAGAAGACGACTTACATATAGAAAACAAAACCTTTTACAGTGTACTTTCATTCATTTTTGATCATATTGTGATGATGATTCCACTTAAAGCCCAATGAAACACTGAATTGTTGTCTGATTTGTACATTTCTGTGTCTCTGCTTGGGAAATTCTCAGGCCCAAGTTTAAAAAAAAAAAAGTATTTAATATGAACGTTGCAGCTCACAGAGGGTTAATATACACGTAGGAGCTTGAAAATCTACAGGGGCAGGTATTGAAATCTATAAACTCTTAAACTCATAAACTCTCCTGCCACACCCTCAGTGACTGCAATATGGTACCACTCCTGCACAGTTAGTCTTATTATTTAAGATTGTATTATCATGATCTACCATGCACGACACCTTCATTCTACACATTAGCAAAGTGGAAGTGCACTTTACATATACAGTAGTGTATACAGTATTTATATATATGTACATGTCATCGTGTGAATGCACAGGCTGTTTTTTTCAGAACTCATGCATGTTAGTGTGAATGTGAGTGCATACAAGCCTGCCGTTGAATATGTGTGTGTGTGTGTGTGTGTATGTAAGAGAGCATGTGTGCTTTGCGGCAACTCTCCTCTACTGGGCAGCCAGTTGTCTCTCTTATTACCCAGCATCCTCCAGGTGTCAGATCTGCCATCTGCAGATGAGTGGCAGGGCGTGTGGAGTGGAGGAATGGAGGGAAGAGAGGGGGGTAAAAAAGGAGAGGAAACAGAATAACTGGTTCTGCAGACATCTGGAACGTGTTCAGACGGGTCATCGAGAGCCGCAGAGTGTGTATGGTGCTCAAGCGATTCCAACTCACAGTAGTTTGATTGAAAAGGTGGCTTTTAGAGTCCTTGGCTTTTCAAATTTTGTTGGGCAATATTGCTTCTTCTACAAAAAAAAAAAAAAGTTGTATCTCAGATAAATGTTTGGATTTTTCACACAAGTGTGTTTTTTGCAGACTATTTGTTATTATTAATATCACAAGAACTTCTTACTGTATAAGCCTTTGAGTTGTTCTGGTCAGAATTACCCATAATTGTGCCCTGAGAGAAAAAATGCATCACAGAGAGAATCATTTGGTTGATTAAAGACATGAATAAAAGATCATACATGCCCAGTGTTTGCTTTTTTCTTCATTGTTCTCAATTAGCCTCAAATTGTGGAATCAAAGGGGTGTTTGTATTGCGCTCTTTGTACAACTTAGATACTGTGTTAAGGCGCCGTTATGATGCATAGTGTCAGAGAACTGCTGCTGTGCTGTGTTTTGTTGCCTGTCTGTGTGAATACATTCTCTCTCTTTAAGTCCCTCCCTATCCAGTTCAGTTATTTCTTTAATTAGCAGCCTCCCACTCTCAATTTAGACTAGCTCCCGTCATCTCTCAATTTGGGGCCCACTCACAGTGATCCTGTCCTGAACATGGTACCTTCAAAGCGCTCCGTGATCAGTTTGACCCTTTTGATGTTGTTATTTGTTTTCTATGACCCCTGGTTTAGCAAATGGCTGTTTGTAGTGTGTGCTTGTGTGCGTGTGAGGCTATAATAAGGCTGACCCCAGGTTAGGTCTCAGAGTGGTCTGTTTAAGCCAGGCAGACCAGGCTGTCCATCTGGTGAGAGTGATTTTTTTTTTTCTCGTTGGAATCAATTTCTGAAAGAAAATATCAGGCATCACTAATTGTATTAAGACAGATTGCAGCCAAGACTTCAAAGCTGCGTACAAGAATCACGCTGTTTGTCGTTTGTTAGGCTTTGCGTGGCTGAGTGTGTGCCGGTGTTTATGCAGTAAAAGCGCTGTGTGAGAGATACACTGATCCTCTGTTGCCTCTGCTGTGGACTTCACACAGGACCTCTGTTCTGTCTTGAACGTCCACTACAGAGGGACCTCAGGTGGGCTGAGAGTGCATTCACTGAGTTCCAAAAACAGTTTCCAATTCAATTTTTCATACCTTGTCAAACCTCAAATTTGTTGGCCAGATGTGAAGAATTTGGTCAGTGTTCATGAAAATGAATCCTGATTCCTATGGCAAGACGCTTTTCCTTTAAAGGGCTGATTCACCCAAAATGTTGGTTTTACTTACACTTACCTATTGCTTTAAGATGTCTATCTCTGAGCAAATGGAATTTAGTTTTTATTGCTCCCAGCATTTGGAAATGTTTATAGAAACATCTCTTTCCACAAATACTGTCCCGCTATTTGTAAAATTAAATTCCTCTCACCTCCATGGTATTGGCTTAGAGGAAGAAATCTGAAACAGACATTTCAAAACTATCTGTGTGGCTAGATACCCACGTGGATGTAGTGGCAAATACCATTATTTTTTGTAATTTGGGTGAAATGACATAACAAACATGTTACACAATGGTAATAATCCTTTTTCTTTCTGTTTTCCTTTTTTCCAGGGGACGTTCATGAATTTTAAAGTCATCCAAAAGTGAGAAGAGGGTGTTGGAGTTGAAGTCTCTTATTTCTGTAAGTTTCCTTAATTGATTGACACAGATGATATTTATGTCCTTGTACTGTAACACTGACAGCTTGTATATGCCTTTGTGCTGTTGTTTGGCACTTTGGATGATTGCTTCCACCAAATGGCAGATAATAATCTTTCATAAAGAACACGTCATTGTTTCCTCTGTACAGAATGGAGCAACTCTTGCTGTGTGTGTTCGAACACACCACATTTTGCACCAGTAGAGTGTGTGTGTGTGTGGGGGGGGGGTATGTTAGTCCATGTAAGCAAAACTGTAGCTGACTCTGTGCATGTCCACTGCCTCTCTCTCCTCCATCGCCACATACAGAACGCTTTTGATTAGTTTCACAGCAAATGCAGACCTCCACTCCAGTTAGTATTCTGCCCTGTGCACCCTCAATAGCGGCTTTCACTTGGGTGAAGAAAGGGGTCTTTTAAAGACTCTCACAGGCATCACTCCAGGAACCTTTCAGCGCTGAGACTTACAGTATGCCTTTTAAAGGACTTTCTCTCTGTGAGCAATAAAGATTATATCTGGAGTCAAATAGTGCTGTAGGTAACACTAGCCTAAATTAAGCTGGTGAGGTCGCAGTGACTGATCTCAATGGTTTCAGCAGAGGCAGGAGACATATGAAATGTACAGATGGAAGAGGTTGAAGAAAAGAGTGATCTGGCCATCTGGCTAATCCCCCTGTTTAAGAATACTTATTAAGGCCCTCTCCAGTGGCTCTTGAGCCGTGTCACTGCTAGGTCACCAAGTGCCCTGTTTGATTCTCACTCGCAACTTGCTCGCACAGTGGACAAACAGGCTTCAGTGTTTTGTTGTGGTTAATAATCTGTGTCCTGCTGGTTGGTCGGGGAGTTCAGTTTCAAAGACTTGATTTATTTCTCGTGTAAATCGTCTTTTATCACAGTCTGGGGGTCGAGACCCCATTAAGGGGTCACAAGATAAGTGAAAGATCTTTGTTTTTTTTTCTTGTGAATTATTCTTTTCTTTTTTCTTTTCATGCCTCTAAAAGTATTCAAATATAACAATCTGAGGAGGATTTACAGTTTGAACTGGTCATAACCCGCTGACAGATGCAACCTGTGATGTTGCAAGTAGACATAGGTTTGTTTCAAGGGTTCACAAGTCAAAAACGTTCAGAACTGATGTAGAGCAACTAACTGGTGAAATGTCTAGTGACAGATATTTTTGGAAGATGATATTTTATCACTGAACAGCAATAAAATAATGCAAACATCACAGTAATTAATATAGGCCTCATACATTCTTTCTCCTGTCTAGTATGCATTTAAGGAAAGGAATTGTGTCATGATTGGGGAAAACCTGACCACTTAGGCCCACTTTTAATTCCATCAAACTCCCTTAATTTCATCAGTTCATCTGGAAACTTGAAATCACATTATTGTGTCTTTTAACATGCAGTTACTTTTCAAATCTAATTACATGGCGGTAAGATGACAAGTGGACCCTCCTAACAAAATTACAGTCTTTATAGGGTACCGAACGTATCGTGACAGCAACAATTTATGGTATCTTTGTTTTATAGGACTTTGGAAGGAAGAGGTTGCTGTGCGCTGTCCTTGACTTGTACTGTACGTATATAACGGCTTTGATCAGAAGAGCTGGGGTGTCTATGACTAATGTTTTAGATGATCTGACATCACCGGACAGTTTGACAAAATCTGTCTTAAACAGGTTCATATTGGTTACAGTGTCTTTATAGAGTGTGGAGAACTAGATCCAGATTTTTATTTGTGCATCCAAAATCTGTTTTGTGCTCGATTTGTAGAATAAGCTCACAGCTCATTTAGCCCTAAATTTACACAATGTGTTAGCCTAGCATGGCATTTATAGATATAAATGTAAAGCCTGCAAAGTATTAAATACAGCTGTATTGTAGCTGTGAGAAAAGATTTCAGCCACTTCATACATCATTACTGGCCTTTCTGCACAGCTCTGTTGTTACATGGTTGCTGTAATGGCAGTCATTTGCAAAGAGTTAGAAAAGTGACCAGACAGCAAGCAGTCATTGGGCTGATTTGTGGTAAGCTAATGAGCTAATGAGCTAATGAATTCACTGAGGTTACCTGTTTGGTTTCCCCAAAAACAATGTCCTTCTCTGCTTTTTACTTCAGCTTCGTATGTGAACTTCACTGCATTACAGTGTAAGATAAATCAACCCTGCTAATGGGCAGTGTCTAACATCATTTTGTGTAGTTTCTCAGTACTTAACCTTATGTTAACAGTGAGCTACTATGTCCTATTGAGCTTGGACATTTAGTTAATTGATCTGATTTGTCCACACATATGAAATGTCCACTTAGGTCTTGGACAGAATGCCTCGCAGGTTTGCAGAAATGAGCTCCATTTAGCTGTGGGAAAAGGGAGCGGAACCTCAGCGATCTTCTTCGGCCACACTTCAAGTCAGCACATTTGTTCATGCGTGCCAGCTCACCAGCACATGTAATGTCAAGTACATATGTTTTTGTGTTATGCATTTAGTTGTTTTCCAGGCAGTGTCTGTGTCAATTTATTTGTGTTTGTGCTTGCATGCATGTTTGTGTTTTGCACACTCATGCCTCATCAACATCCCGTCTGAGGCCCATCTGGTTTGCTTTGAAGAGGCTCGTGGAGCTGCAGTGGCCAGGCCTTTAAGGCAGGGCCGGGCCAGCAGCGGTTCCTCCCTACTTACACATTAATCCACGGTGCAAGGCTCTTTGCCAGTAACAGTATAGACCGACCCTCGTGGCTACTTCCCAAACCACCCAAGCTCATACCCCACTTTCTCTCTTCTATTGCCCTTGAAATGGGGCCTGCTGTAAATATTATCTCCCCCTGTGCTTTATCCCTCCGTTTATCCCTAAGTCGGCAGAGAGAAGAAAGGAGCCGTGGGGCTGAGTCACTTTTTCCCCTCTCTTCTCCTCTCTCCAAAACCACAGGCAGCGGCAGCGGCTTCCTGGAGATGAGCGCTTTTGTCTGTTGTGTGACCGCTGCGGCTTTAGGCAGATCCTCCTCTGATGAGGTAATGCACAGGCTAGATGAGGAGGCAGAGTGAGAAAGGAGGGAGGTGAAGGAGGAGATCAGCCTGAGGATGGATCTACATTTTAACCTTTGATTTATCCAGGGAAAGGGTACTCTAAGGGGGTGCATGTTCCTTTTCAGCAACACCCAGCTTCACATGGAGGCCACTGCACACACACACCTACTTAGAGGTGGACAGTGGTGCCTGCTGGCCTCTGCAGCATTTGTGGGTACCATGATGAGGGACTCCACAAAAGCTGATGCAGGAGTCAAATCATTATTCCTTTATGTAGATATGAAGGTTTTCCCAGGTCATCTTGTTTCCCAACAAGCCTAGTTAGAAGAAATCATATACCTTTAGGCAACTGTGTCAGTTACTTTGAGGGTGAAATGTGCGAAGAAAGGAAGGCTGAACATCCCTTATGACATGTTGCTCTTGGTAATGAGTTGAGATGCCTGGATAAGATAGTCAAACCCCTAATACTAAAGTATCATTTATTCTACATTCAAGAGGTGTCATGAGACATTAATGATGGAGAATGGACAGTTTTTAAATGCCAATCCAGCCCATTTTCAGTTTGTGCAACAAGTGTCTGAAATGTGTATTTTTTATAGTTGCCCACAAATGCGTTGCGCAGCACATACATTGGGAGAGTGTGAAAGGAGATGTGAGTGAGTGGATGATGTATGGACATATGTAATAGACCAGATGTGAAGTGATCAGCAAGCATCCTGAGGTTAGCATGTCTTCATCAGTTTCCCTCATCTGCCTGACAAGAGAGTATTCCCATTATACCTCCAATGTTCTGTTACCAGGAAATAAAACGGCTGGCAACTGCAGTGCTGGTGCTGATCATGGAGTTGCTGATAGTTCAGAAAAAGCACATGATACACACAAACACACACACACACCAGGACAAGGAGTTGGCAGCGGAGGGAACTGTAGTACACGGGGAACTGGCAAGACTAAATTTGGAGGAGAACGGGGAAATGTTGCAGTGAAGTGAGAGTAAATGTGTTTCTTGAATTCTCTTACCGTGACACTAGACTTAGTGATGAGTTGTGTAACCTACTATGATGAATGAAGCAAAAAACTAAATATAGGATAATATTAAAAAAGCTGTCATTATGATGCAATTCCATGAGCAAATAATTATTTCTGAACTGCAGATATCACATCTGCAGAAACAATTAAATTTGTTTCAAGAATTCATCAGTAATTGTTACAAAATAGGTTTAGTTTAGCAACAATTTACAATATATCAACATTTCTTGTGCTGAAATGTTGTGAAATGAAGATAGCCAGTCAGATAAGAGTATTTCAGCTGCTAGTGAAAGAAATCTTCATAGGAAAAAAAAGTGTGAAAGGATTTATATGATTCTAAGAAACGTTTCCACTCAGCTTTCACATTTGGCAATAAAAAAGTTGGACAGAAACACAGCTTGTGTGTATGTGTGCAACGACACTTACAGTCTCTCTGCCTGTTTGAACCCGTCTTTTCTCTCTTTACTCCAGTGACAACTGTTATCTGCTCGGACTTCTGGCCTCCTGTTGAGGAATGCCACCAGACTCGCTGACATTCAGGATAATTGCTTCCTGTTTTAACTGTCATGGGTCATGGAGGTCAGAGGTCAGGGTCAATCTCAGCTGTTGTGCTCTGAGCTACAGGGGGATGCCACCTGGTCCTTATATCATGGTGATTTTTCTCAGCTTTTCAGCAAGCTTTGTTAAAAAGCGAAGGGTTTAAAATAGCTTGAGTTGTTGCCTATGTAAGTAGAAAGAAGGTACACAAAGCATCACCTCTTCAACAGTGTTTCTGCTGCAATGCTAACACCTGTTTCTGAAGGGGCTTGTGGTAGCTTCCCATTTGTGAACACTATTTTGCTGACCCTGAATGCAGCTTGCTACCGAACACCAACAACACCACATCCTCATAATTACAGTATGCTCATTACAGTAAAAAAAAAAAAAAA